GGAATTGCAAAGAACTGTGAAACAGTGATCGGGTTTTGTTTCCTTAAAAAGTGCATCATCATGTACTGTGGGTTATACTAAAATCACTTCATTGGTCTAATTTTTATTTATTAGAAACAAATTGTTCTAGAACTAAAGCCAATTTTTAATGATCCAAAACAGAAATAAATGTTCTAGTCTATTAGCGTCCTATATGGAATAAATCAATATTAAAGCTAATTAACCCTTTTCAAAGGCATTCTGTCCCAGGTTTTTATTTAATGGTTCAGTGCTGCTTAAAGCATGGATCAAGCTGGATAAGCTCCATTTAAAAAATGGCCCATTTTGAAAACAGTTTAGCAGTTCACTATGACGAATATATTTATCAGGATAAACTTGACTTTTTTTCAACTGTATAAATAACAGACCAGGTTCCTTAAAAGATCTGATAATAAAACAGAGATTAAAGGCAACAGACAGATTTGTCCATTTAGCAATATTATCACATTATAGTAACTGATTTAATTGATTGCTTTAAAAAAGAAACATTTATCCATAGATATATTTTCAATCTTTGCTTTTGAGGATATTCCTAAGGGAGAGGGAATCTCCATATAAGACATTTCATTCTAGGTCATATGTGAAATGCAAACCTATGATGTGTCCTTTTTGGAAGAAGCCATGATTTTTTAATAGTGTTCAAACACATAGTGCAAAGCGCGCACCTTTGAGGTATAAATGACTACTTTGACATATGAAACCCAATGAAAATTATATACATTATTTAAGGAACTCAACACTTCCCCTTTTGTTATACTAGCAAATCACAGAATGTATTTTAATATCAAGCTATTTTTGAGTTATAAAATAGATGATCTATTTGTACATGAATTAAATTCCTCACGGTACCAGGGAAATTAATTTGTGATGTTATGAAATTTTGATTAGCCTGCTGTAAAAATCAGAATTGTTTACCACAAGTAAAGAGTCTGGATTCTGACTCTTACAGTCCTTCCGAACAAATAATGAAATGAACTGGAGTGGGGGGTAAGGGGCAGAGTAATTTATGAAAACATGGTACACCATAATTTTGCCATTTTTCTGCAATAAGGATGGCGAATGATTCATGGGATAAAATGAAATATTTCTCACTGTCATTTCAATGGATCTAAGATTTACAGCTTCTTACTTAGATAGGAAAACTCTGTATGCATAAAAATGAATTGTAAATCAATTAATGATGGGGATGAAAAACAAAAAAAAATTGATTTTAAGGGAAGAAGAGAAAGTCTAACAAGCAACAAATTAAAAGGGAGAAGAAGCGGGTATTTACTCTAAGACCTTTGAAGGAAGGAGGTTGTGAGAGGGAGCTGCTCGCTTAAAAGAGGGCATTAAGGTCAGGTTAAAGAAAAGTGATATGTTGATCCGAGCTCATTACATTTAGATTGCTTAGACAGACACGAGAAGGTAGCTTTTAAAGCAAAATCAGATATGCCTGCATTGGATTTTTAAAAATCACAAAAAAGTTAGACCCAGCATTACAGTATACTATTAAAACAAAGAAATCCTGACTATAAAAAACACAGCCTCCAATTCAAGATTCTCCTTAACCAAAACTATTTTTTATAGGTATCAGGGCCACAAAGTGAAAAAAAATTTTTTTACACCTCCCAACTCCTTGAGACACCACACTGAAGGAAAGCTAGCAGGGGCCACTGAAGAAGTGAACCTGGACTCCATAGGAGCCACTGTACCTGGACAATGAGAGCAGTCACTCTGCTTCAGACCGAAACCGTGGGCTCGAGTGGCTCCGAAGCTGGTGGAACCAGCTGTACCATGTGCCGGGCTCCAATATCCCAGGTGGGTGGGGTGAGCCTCAATCCCCCCATCTCTTCCGCTGAAACATGACACGTTGTCTACGGCTGGAAGAGGCATGCCTCAGCTTCCAGTTTCAAGCAACTCCAAGGTGAATGCAGTTAACTAACAGGGAACCGGTGGCAGGGTGTGCTAAGCAATGCGATGCAATGCCAGATGTGGAGAACAAAGATGGCCTTGATGGTTCTGCTAAAGTAGTTTTGCTTAGATCAAATAAATCTTATTATTCTGGATCAGGTGTTTAACAAAATGCAAAGATACTTATTGCTTTTTCCAGAGGGCCCACAACCTTCTTTGCACGGGATCTGCAGGACTATATCCCTGGTGTCATCACAGCTCACATACATCATGTTATGTGCATGCAGTTCACAAGTTTGGTAGCTAATTAGAGACCTAAACTACAAAGTACAAAATACAAAGGCACACAAGGCTCATCAACTCCATCCCCTATACAGAGGGAGCCATATTAATTTAAAACTTCTGTTGTGCCCTTCCTTCATAAGTCAAATATCATCAGGTGAAATCTGACACCAGTGATAATGCGGTGTTGACAAAGACTGCAAATATTGGTGTTAGCATCCATTTCCTGTTATCATAAATTGTATACATTTCAAAAACTGGGAGCAATCTCTTTTGACAAATTTTATGTTGACAAATTTTAAAGTGCTATAAAATTTGATAAGCTAGATCAATGAACAATGTTTTAAGCTGCTATGTATTTTTTTCCAGGCACTGAACAAACAGGTCATTGTTACAGGTCTATAAGGGGGCCACAGCTGAGGTATTCTATGCAATTTCAAAGGAACTTCAGAGGCTCACACGTGCCTTTGAGCACACAAAACCAGGAGGCAGTGCATCGAAACCACAGATGGAGCGGATGCACCACGTACATGTGTAAATTAAAACCTATAAAATAGCACGGGCATTATAAAACTTGTGTTAAAACTGATAACAGCTTTACTGATTTACTGACAATGAAAATATATAGCATTTTTTCTGTCAGAGCATTTATCAACACTTGGCAACCCTGTACTAACTTGACATGTGAGATGATCAAAATGGATTATGTAATCTTTCCCATTCATTTCTATTGATTTTAGTTATGATAAAATTCATCAGTGTGCCCGGGAACCCTCAGGCTGAAAGGCTCTAGGAGACAAAAAAAAAAAATGGAAAGGAAAAAAAGAATTCAGCTGAGTTGTAATATGACGAATGTGAATTTAGAATAGGATTGCACAAATATAGAAGTCGTGCCCTAAAGGCTCCGGCAACAAATTAATACAAATAATCCTGGCGGTCTCATAAAATTACATCTCTCTATGCAGAGATTTACTTTTGAGATCAAATTACAAAATTTCAAGCTAAAAGAATTAATGTGTGGGTGCCACTAAAAACATAGTTTGTGAAAACATTTTCAAACTTTTTTTCAAGAGTAATCAAAGTTATTTCCCTGACTGTAAGTAACATCAAAATGCCAGCAAATGGACCATTTTAATCAGTTTTATTGATTCATGCTTTCAGTTCTTATTCCGTTAAAAACAAGGCACATTAAATACATCCTCTTATTGCTCTATAAATGCATGCAGCTCATTCCGTATATCAAAAGTAATAAATAATGGCAATAAAACACCAAGACAGTTATAAAAATGACAACCCAGCCTCAAACATAGTATTTAACAGTCCAATCTAGAACAATAACCCAACACGATACATAAAAGAGCCACATATTAAAAACATGCAGTGTGTCTATCCACTTCGGTACTGGGCTTATACTTGATCTTCTTTAAAAACAACAGTAGGGCTTTTTTATTCCCTAAAAAGGGTTGACATAATGCAAAACAGTGCAAGTTACAGCGTCACTGGTGTCAATATTATTACATTCATAGGCCAAAAATCTTTACAAATACATAAAAAAGAAGGAAAAAAGGTCAGGGATCATTCTTACAGTACGTTTAGTAAGAGTCAGAATGAAATTGTCATTGTACAAAAGAGAAAGCTACATAACTTGAAAAAGACAAAACAAAGCTAGAAACTAAAGCACAATAAGGGGCATGCATTTAATAGCAGAAACTCTAAAGTTACACTCAGAGTAAATTGATTGAAGCAAGAATTCTGCCAACAGCGTGATGGATATGAGGCAGGCCACCTTGGCTTAACGAATAATCCAGCATGATCACTACTGTTATGACTGTGGTCGGGCTATTTAAAGGAGCATCCAGCTTTCCACCACAGCTGGGGGTTCCGTCACCCGGATCCCCTGAAAGGCTCTTGAAAGAAATCACTTGATTGATAAAAGACAATCTCTGCGCGCACACACCCCAGCGCCACCCCGACAGTATCATCTACATCACAGTTATATGAAAAGGGGAAAAAAGTTCTTTTGCACTTCAAGTAGGATTTGAAGGGGCTCATCCCCCCGCTTTTCTCCTTTTCTGAAATCAGGTAAAGAAGCTGTGCAGGTTTAATTAAGAACTTACACAAAAATGTGGGGGTGATTTATTCACAGTGAAGACTTGGAACCAGCTCGTTTCCAAGACGAGGCTCTGGGATCGATGAAGGAGCGTATGTTTTAGAATTAGCAGATTTTAAGCAAAAGCAAATATGCTCAAAAGAAGAAAAGTGTGCTTTTCTTTGTCCTTAAAGGAACTTCACTCATAGCAAAGCGTGCACAAACAAGGCCTGTGCTACAAACACAGCTCTGCCCAGGCCAGTCAGGTCTTGAGCGGGGTCCCTACTGCAATGGATTCAGGGAGAATACAAGTCATCCTCATCGCCTCTAACTAGAGAGAGAGAGAGAGAGAGAGAGGGAGGGAGGGAGAGAGGGAGCACAAATGTACAGTGTTGTGGCACATCATCTGTAATGTGTTCAAGGACAGCTCTTCTATCTATTAAGGGTCACTGGATTCTAAACAGTGACATTTATTGTCCTGATAGAAAAACACTAAATTACAAAGCCACAAGCTTCCATTATTTAAAAAAATAAAATAGCCAGTGTAAAAAATTCACACTTTGAAAGAAAAACTTCACAGTGGTACCTGGGAGCATCCCTTTCTCTGTTTTAGGTTTTCCTTTTGAAGTGCTAAGGCTACAACAGCCTTTAAAAACAAAAGGAGCTAAGATGCTACCTTAACTGTTTATTTCAGAGGTGAGGTGGGTGCTTAAGTGAGTGAATTTCCAGTGTTTATATTATGACATCCAGGCTCATACCCCACTCGAATGAGGCATAAAGGTATTCTACAATGTTGGCATAAACAGAAATGGCAGCACAAAAGTGTTTTATGCACCAGTTTAAAAAACTAAGACTTTAAGTCTGTGCAATGAAAACGTGACACTAAATAAAGGGCTAGATTTCCTATTACATACACAACCTGATCTCGAGACACAAAAAGTAAGTAGTTAACCTCACAAGAGGAGGCACAATAAATAAATATTCAGATGACTGGCTAAAATGCCATCAAAATATTGGGAAAGCACAGCAAAATGGCCCTTTAAATTCAATCCATTATTTGTTAAATGCAATTCAAATTGATTCTTGTTTGTGCTTTGTGTCTCTAGGTGTGTGTGAGCTGGGGGACAATGTGTGTGAGTGTAGTGTGTGGTTTTATTATTTTTCTTTTGGTTGATTGAGAACTTTTCCACTGAGAACAGAATGAAAGAGGCTGTATAGTAACCAAAAGGAACTTGAGTGTTATGCCTTTTTACAAATAATTATAAATAAAGTTACTGAAGGGCTATTTCTATCCTCGTGGCTATCTGTTTACAAATACTTGCTCCGCAACCCCCCCAAAAGGATCCAATAAACGAAGCACAAGAGGTCATATTTGACAATATCACATGCTCTGAGATTTAAAATTTAGGGATTAAAAATTATGCTATCACATGTAGATCTTTAATAAACACAGGTTTTTAACCCTTAACGGTATTACTACTGTAAAGGTTTAAGAAATTTCGTCTCATCCCATGACACCCAACTTATTACTGAAATTCTGGTTTTAAAATAAAGAAAGCAAGGATCTTCTTGGCAACTATAATAGTCAAAGAAAAACCAGCAGTGACTGAGGGGGAAAAAACGAATTGCTGAGATGAAACTATCAGTGTAACTCCCAGAAATGTCAATGCTATCCTTATCTTACACCTGTGATTCTGGAAGCTCTGAGTTTCTCTCTCAGCCTCGCTCCTGTCACCGGATCTGGAAGCTGTCCTCCCTCGCCGTTCTGCCAGTCGTGCTCCAGATGTAAACCTGTACCACGGTCTGCACGAGGAAGGCAGCCGAGCTGGAGGAAGGAGGGGCTGAGAGGTCTCCAGAAACTATCCTTTTAACAGGTCGCTCCTAGCTCCATTTCTTTTAAGAACAAATACTATCTACAAGCCTAATGTCCAGAGCTTTGTGTTTGCCACAAAATTTTTCCAGCTGCTTTTTTCAATTTCAGCCAAAATATTCTGCCTCTAGAATTGAATTAGAATAAATGAACAAATACACAAAAAGGGAGCATGTCCAGTCTAACAGGTCACAAAATGGATACAAAAGAGTAATCAGGGTGCATGGGAAATGAGAAAAAAGATAAAATACACTTTTTAGAAGCTAGAGTGAATGGCAAATACAAATAAAGGGTATACATCAACATCCTAAAGCTTTGGAATGTTTCCCAGTGTTAAAAAAAAGAAAAAGAAGAAAAAGAAGCTATCCATCTCTACTATTTCGGAGTGTTGTATTTTGTAACTGTTGTTACATGACGATTTGTTCTTCCCATGTTTGTTGGCCAAGGATTTACTGCTCACACTCACAATCCTCCACAACTTCGGTCCACGGGAATGGGAACCCTCCCTTCCAGGTTCTCCTCTGCGGTTTTCATCAGTATCGCCAGCCGGCTTCCAGACACCCTTCCTTTCTGAATAGCACTCATCAGCTAAAAGAGAAAACATGCAACAGATGCGGAAGGCAGGCTGGCTTAGTCCCTTCTTCACGGTGGTTTAAGTGTCCCCTTTGCAGCAGGCAGAGGCCATTAAGTGCTCTATCAAAAGCCCTAAAAGGTCCTACAGCTCACACAGGAAGAGGGAAACTGCTGAGCATTTCAGACCTGGGGGAGGGCAGGCACTCCTCCACCGCTGTCAAAGCCACGCCCCCTCGCAAAACTGCCTGCCTTTCAATGCAAACCGAATACATCACTGTTTTGCCCCTTCATGTGCTCAGGGGACATATTTTTTTGAGCAACTCAAATATTGGATCTTGAGTTCCATTTAAAAATCTTAAAAATGAATCTCAGGGATTGAACAAAGGCAAACCATGATCTATATTTAACGACTCTCTTTTTAATGTTACTGTACTTGACAACTTCAAGTCCCCTAAATCCAAATTCCTTAAAGACTTGATAGAGTAATTTACATTTAAGTCCTTGAAAATGGACCCAGAGATCCACCTTCAGAATTAAAAGCACTCCGCAGCTGAGATTTTAGCTAATTCATTTTTATCCAATGGATAAAATCAGAATTAGTCTTGAAATTACATGCAGTCAGCGGGCAAAGGCCTTTAATCTTGAAGGCACTTTGCAATTATGAGTGTGGGGATTTTTTTTTCCTTCTCAAGTTTATGTGGTTTTAACTATTTGCTTTTCTTGATAGCCCTTCCCCAATCTTTTATTTATTTATTTAAAAAAGAACTGATTTAGCTTTTTTTTTTTCCCCGAAGTATTTTTGGGAGTTATAGTTTTTAGCTTAGGAGATAATTTTTTTAAATGGCTCTGAATAAGAATCAGAGGCATCTGCCAAGGTGCAGGATCAGAATTTTATGACCTTATTAAAAGCTGTTTCACAAGCTATTGCTTATTAGAGACTGACTCCTACACGCAGAAGTGGCATTAGAGCCCAAACCTAAAAATAAGTCATTCAACCATGTGATACCTATAGTGATCCTTCCAGGAGGATTATTGAGAAACCAAATCTATACTGACAAGGGTGTTTAATGAGGTAAACATGGGCTCTTAATCTTGAGAAAAAAATATTGTATAAAAAGAAAAAACCTGAAAACATACTTTACATATGACAAATGATATAACATAGAGAATGCTGACATCTAAAGACAGAACAATTTATTGTCTGTTGTTTTGTCTCTGATTCCATGAGAGCATCAAAGTACCAGAGCTAACAACTCTGATAGAGCTGAGGTCTTTTTCTTTATCCATGAACATTATATAATGTCCCAACCTTTAAAAATTCAAAGTTTCTTTAAACATTACATGTATCTTGAAATCATATTACAAGAAAAAGAATATTTGGGTGTAAATATATTTCATGAGAAATACGATCAGCATTTTTTAAGTTGAAAATTGCACTCTGTATGTGTACTTAGTAGAGGTATGAATAGTCTCTTTCACTAAGAATTGGACAAAAAATAGAAATAATTATTAAAAACTGTACAAGAAAACCTGCAGATGGTTTAAATTACTTTGTATGTGTTTAACTCTACTGCATTCAAGAAAACTACTTAAAATCCAAATCACACAGCATATCCCTAAAATTAGATTCTTACTGTTTCTAAAACCCTAGGTCTTCCAACCCTAAATACTGTTGTTTATTTACAACACATGAAATGAAATATAAATTATTTCTTTGAAGTTTTCTAAAATCCTGAGACAAACAATAAAATATTCTTAGAAAAAACAAACTAGACAAAAATGCACTAAATGGTTTCTAATTGCCAAGCATAAATCTTAAACTCAATTTAAAATGGGCACTTAGTTAAACCGTAAGCTAAAGAACTAAACATTCTTTTTTGTAATGCTGGACACAACCTGTGAAAATTTTCTGCATTTAGATTCAACAATGCTCTTATCTGCAGCTCATCTCCAGAGAGACAATTACCATTTCCTTTGCCTTGATCTTGTTTGTTTAACTTGACACAGTGAAGAAAGGGCTGACATTGACCAAAATCCCCAGCATTAATTTATTTCATGTTCAGCATTCATCATTGCCATGGTGCAAGCAAGACCTGGCATTCATTTGAAATACCTGCCCAAGAAGCACTACAGAAAAAAATCTGGCTGCTTGGAAACCAATACATTCTTCATGTGATTGGAGTCCTATGGACAGCCACAATAATGTATGGGTTTGTTCAATTTCCCTCTTTAGAGGAATGATGTGCAGCATCCAGTTTGAAGTTAAAGTAACACAATGTATTTCCTTCATGATTACGATTAAACAACTGAGCCTTGAGTAAGTAAAAATAGCAACGCCTGAAATATATGGTCTTGACCCAGAATGCATATCCCCCTTCTTTTGTTTTTTAGGCTCTTTATGATGTCAGAATATAAGAATTACATTTCAGGTTCTAAAGTGAATATGATTCTCAAATGAACGCAACTGTAATTTCTAAAACTTTTTCCTTAAAAAATTACTTTCCACGTTAGAAATATTGTGCTACCTTCTTTGAAGCAGATCAAGTGTGGTGCTCCATGGTACCTCTTCAAAAGGCATACTTCTTATTCACCCCTTTAAGCCATAATTAACTTGAACTTAATCTAAATTACCCACCACAACAGAGTATTGTCTTATAAAAAGGAAGGAGAACATGCCCCACATAGAGCCTTATCCTTGAGGGCAGACATATCAGCCTCGGGTGGCTTCAAGTTCTCTTCCTCAGAATGAAGTGACAACTGTGTGGACTTCAAACTCTATTGTTGAACAACCCCTGACAACCAAAAGATAAAAAGCAAATACACTTGTTTCCCTTCAGTACAACTCACCTGCAAAAATTCATTGAGTTCAACTTGTCCATTTTTGTTCAAATCTACTTCATTCAAAATTTCATGTAGTGTATATTCATCCATTTGGACATTGATACTCTAAATAAAAGCACAAAATAAAAAGGGTTAACTAAAAATTATGAAAAGCCTTTTAATAATGTTATCAACTTTTCAAAAATTAAGAGAAATATTACCCATAGAAATCACTAGGTAAGAAAAAACTATCTAATATAATCTTTACATTCTTTTGCTATCCAAGATATTGAATCAAAAAAATATTACCTCTAATACACGCTGAACATCCACAATAGTAATAAAGCCTTTGTGGTCTCTATCAAACTTAAGAAATCTCTTCTTGTACCTGGAATACAACATTGAATAATGGGAAAATGTACTTATATAGGTGAAGGAAAAAGAGAAATAGAAACTTATTAGAAGTACCTGTCAATGTCTGAAGGCAGCAGGCTAATTTCTGAGCGATCTGTTAACTGTTCTGATCGAGATTTATAGCCCATTTCATAATACAGAAACTTCTTGGCTGTTTCAAGTTCTTCCTAAAACACAGATACACACAAAGTTCAAAGATTTATAGAAAGATTTATAGATTTTTTTTCTTGTGGTTTTCTAAAAAGAAGCTGGCTCATCCTCACTTATCTGACCAGCCCACCTTTTTATTTCTTCCAGTTTTATTGAAGTGTAACTTATATTCAATAAAACCCACCCATTTTAGGTACATAGTTTGATGTATACTCTACCATGATCAAGATATAGAACATTTCCATCACCCTAAAGGCTTCCTTCTGCCCATTTGGGAGTTCATCTCTTCCCCAGACAACCACTGATCTGTTTTTTGTCACCAGAGTTTTGCCTTTTCTAGAATTTCACATACAAGGGTTCATACAGTAGGTAGCCTTTTTTGTGTTTGACGGCTTCTACAGCATGTTTCAAAGGTTCATTCGTGTTGTTGCAAGTTTTAATATTTTGTTTTCTTTTAATGCTGAATATTCTTCCACTAGCAAAATCTACAGGACCAAATCCTTGTGGTTTTGGTGACCAAAAAAAAGCAATTAAAGGTGAAGAAGATATCTGGGACTTAACAACTACTTACACCACGACAGGCATCATGAGATTAGCTCTTCTGAAATTCTGTCACTAGGATTCCGACAGTTGGGTGGAAGTTACATATTAATGAGAAGAACCAAGCTGTCCTGACCGGTTCTTCTTCCTGTTCTCAGCGTCCCAACCTCAGTTAATACTATTGCTGAGAACACTGTCATTCTTAGTTTTCATCATGACTCTACTGTACTGTGGACTGTTCACAAACACCGCTTTCTTCCCTTCATGTATATATAGTATATACCCCTCCCCCATAAGTATGCTTCTCCACCCCACTGATGTGAGCTTGGGCATATGATTAACTTCGGCCAATAGACATGAATAGGTGCGATATATGCCACTTTCGAGTAAAAGCTTAGAAGCAACTGCACAACTTTGCTCCACCTTTCAAGCTTCTTTCTCTGCCATGAGAACGGCATAAATCAGAGAGATCAGAAGATAACCTGGAATACGGAGAAGAGCCACAGCACCTAACACGCTGCCTTCATGTAGTACGAATGAAAGGTAAGTGCTTGCCTTGGTAAACCAGTAAGATTTTGAAGTTTGTTATATCGCATAATCTAGAGAAAGCTCACTGATACAGGTCTTGGATTCCCGCCTTCCCATCAAAGGATCTTATGTAGGTGACAAGGGCCTTTGCTCCTTTTTCTTAAGAAGACAAACTATTTTTCTGAGATTATGCCCTTCCTACTTTCCTTTCTCTTAGGAGAAATTATATATATATATATATATATATATAATATATCATAGCAAAATAGCGAAATATCTATAGCATATATATAAAATTAGAAATGCTAAAATATCTCAGCTAATATATGTACATAAAATATACAATATACTATATATTATCAAAATATACTATATATGATATATCATACATACATATACACACACACGATATATAAGGTATATATAAAACTTGTCTGTGAAGTCACAGAAGGCATTCTTCACTGGCATATTACTCTCTTCAAACAATACTTTTCATTGTGCCAAGTTTACCCAGTCATGCTCTACAAAACTCACTCAAGATTCATTTCCCTGGAAATAGCATCTCCAATGCTTCCCCCCAAGAACAAGCTCTTCTTTGGTTCATCTCCCTTCACCGTCTATGTAATTTATCCTTCCTCCATCAAGCAAGGAAAATGGGATTTCAAATTTAGAAGGGATTTACCCCCGGAATTCACCCAATGTACCTCCCGAGCCCCACATTTTCTTTACAACATTCCAAAAATGGAAGCATGAGGTCTCCATCTAAAGAATTCTAAGAACAGAGTGATAACTCAATTCCACTGAAAGTAGTCCATATAGGGATGGCTCCAGTTGCTAAAAAGTTTTATGCTGAGATTAAACCATCTCTTTGCAATTCCTCCAATTTGTTTGGGATTAGCAAGTACCTAGAAAAGAGTAACTACCAGCTTCATCAATCTAGAGAGATGATTTCTATTAATGCAGCTTAAGACTGCAATCGCACTGGGGGTAGCCATGATCCACAGTTAACTGCTATGCATTCACAGGTAACAGAAACCATATTTCGTTTTTGCATGTGCTACTGTTAAGCCTTGTCAAATCATGAATGGATGGAGCTGTTTTTCTACCTATTGCAAGGTTTGCCATTTATCTCTATTAAATTATACCTAATGCAATTTCACTCCTTGCTTCAACTTGTCATCAAACATTCACTCTCCAGTTTATTATTATCTGTACACCAAAGATGCATGCCATGAACATTGTAATCTCAAGGACAGAGTCCTCATGACGGGCTTGTTACCTAAGACCTCTTCTGAGACCAACAGTGATCACTTGACCGATTACAAATCCACCAACTTTAAAAAAGATATCACATGGGGCTTCATAAAATGCTGTAGGGAATTCAAACACATTATGTCTATAACCTTTCCCCGATCTACAATCTTGTAAATCTTTATGAAAAGAAAATGAGATATCTGAAATGATTTTTTTCCTAAATAATTCCTTACTAGCTTCCAGTGATCACTACACTTATTGCTAAATGCTGATAAAATAAACTTAAAATGCCATAATCTAGAAAACCTTCCAAGAACAATGCTATGACCACCAGTTTTTAAGTTACAAACTACATTTTCCTCTCTTCTCCCTCTTTGGAATTTGGTGCTACATTTACGCATCTTCTGTCTTCTGGTTCTGTTCCTATTTGCCACAATATTTTAAAGCTCAACTGTGGTTAAATAAATTCCATCTGCAAATTCTCTGAGTACCCTGGGGTATAATTTTTCTTGGTTGGCATACAGTCATTTAGAGCAAACTTCTATTTGAATATCTATTTCCTCTTACCAATATTTATTTTTCTCTTTTCACACTGAAAATCATTCTCCTGACCAAAAAGAAAAAAAGAGAAACAATTTTGTATTAAACTATAATTTGAAAAGTTCTCCCTTTTCTCCAGCATTCAAGAATAAGGTGCCGGTCTCCTCCAGCAATAATCTAGGTGAGACCTCACTTGCATTCTTTCCCATTTTAAAAAGTTATATTTTATACCCTTAGCATTTTTTCCAACATTCAGCCAATCCCTGACACTATTTATATACATCCATATCATTCCTCGATACATTTTCATTGTGGAGCACTTCTCTTCCATCTGTTTTAAATTTATTGTTTATCAGCTTGCTTTTCTCAGTCACTCCATTTCTTCACTGGCTTCTTCCTCATTGAAGTCAATTTTGAAAGAATTTCTTTTTGTGAGATTCCCTCAATCTATTTAAGTGGTCTTCTCTTTAAAGTCTCTCAATAAAATGTATGCTCTGTCTGAAAGTTATAAAATCTCCTTACCAAATACTATGGCAGCATTTCCTAAAATACTTGCTAGGCAACACTAGTCTCCTTTTCCTTCAGCCCTTCCAAAACATGAGAGTTGAGTCTGTCTCCAAGTAAGTTCCCTTTGGGAGACTGACAATGAACATAAGCATTTTAAAGGTACCAAATTATCTATATTAAAAAAAATGGTTTCATTTCTTTAACTCAGAATTCTCCAAACGCTCTTGACCACGCAGTCATCTTTTGACTTAATTATACCTGGTGAGACACCGTTTGGCAGTCAGTGTTCCACTTTTAAATATCCCCAGCAACTCCTCTCTAGACAATCCCCGACACCCCCAGACATTGCCTTCCCTCCTCCCTAACTGGTTCTTTCAGATTGATTGAATTTGTTCTTGAATGACAGTTCTCTAAATCTCTCTCTAAATTTTGGAAAACATACACAAATTTCTGAGGTATATATGTGTTATAACTACTCAATTAGATTTCGAGATCCTTGAAACTATGAGCTATTTATCATTCCCCTAAAATATTTGGTATAATGCTCAGTATCCAAGTCACTCATGAAGTATTGACTGGCGAAAACCACCACAATTCATCTACAGAGAGTTATTTATCACTGTGTTCCTCTTTCACTTTTGCAGGTTAAATAATCCCAATGCTTTTAACCTTTTCTCAGAAGTCCAGCTTTCTAACCTTTAATTCTTTTTTTTCCCTTCTCTTTTGTTCTCTCCAGACTGTCCACAGACCTCATTAACACTCCAATGTCTCGGATACTGAGTAATAACTTTAGGTCTTTTATTTCTGTTACTTTGTTGAGGGGGATGGGGAATATTCCTGAGTACATAAATCTGCTCATAAAATGTGAACTGGGGTTAAACCTAGCTTCCTCGGGAGGGCCAAAACACACCAGTTTACAGAATTTTCTCCCTCCTCTCTACCTCCTACATCCTGAATTCCTGGCACAAAATATCTTCCTGCATATTCAAATCATTCCCACCATAATTTTTACAGGAACACATTATCCTTGGTCCTTCTATATGCTAAGAATGATTGGCAGGAACACAGGAGTAAGTTTTATTCTGGGTTGCCTCCATATATAGCTTTAGTTGATCAAACCAAAACTCAAAACAGGAAGAGCTATAATAAACCAGTCCCAGCAAAGCAGAGGCAGAAGGCAGGGTGGGGAAAGCGGGCGCCCTAGGATCAGAATGCGGCTTTCAGCCCCAACTGCCCGACTTACTGTTGCGTGAACCTGACCGGGACTTGCTCCCTGAGCCTATCTCCTCAGCTATCAAAGGGGGGGAAAGGGTTATGCCTGACAGAGTTGGGGTCAAGGTTAAGGGGCTCTTTCAACTGGTAAATTCCACCAGAAGTATACTACATGCATTGCATTAAAATTACAAGATAATTTTAAAAATATATCTATATATTTTTTATTGATTTCAGAGAAAGGAAGGAAGAGGGAGAGATAGAAATATCAGTGCTGAGAGAGTCATTGATCCTCTGCCTCCTGCACGCCCCCACTGGGGCATGTGCCCTGACCGGGAATCGAATCATGATCTCCTGGATCATGGGTCGATGCTCATCCACTGAGCCATGCCGACCGGGCTACAAGAGAATTTTTAAAATGGAGGGCTGTGGTTTCACTCTAAGGACTCTGACTCTGATAGTCTAAAGACAACCATGAAATCTGCCCTTTTCTCCTACATTTCGCAGGTGACTCCAATATGTAACCATCTTTGGGAATCTACACCAGAATGAGAACAATTTAAGGACAGGACCTATGCCCAATCATCCCTTACACAGAAGACACAGCTGCTCAATAACGTTCATTCATTCATTCATTCATTCAATAGATACTTATGTAGGGCCGACTATATGTGCTGGGCACTGCATGTACAGAAACAAAACAGATCACGTCTTCTCCTTCAGGGAGCTTATTTCCTGAAGGAAGGCAGATAACAGATAAACATCTAAATATTTGGTATGTCAAATGGGAATAGATGCTAAAGAGAAAATAAAGTAGGGGAAGGGGTAGAAGACGTCATTCAGATGGGGGAAGGGGCTCCTCTTATTCAGCCCAGTTAAGGAAAGTCTCTCTGGAGCAGAGACCAGTGGGAAGTGAGGGAATGGGCCATGAGGATATCTAGGGAAGACCATTCCAGGCAGAGGCATCAGCAGGATGTGAATAAAGAAAAGCAACCTGGCCTGGGAGTTGGAAGGGAGTGTATGAATGGGAGGAAAGACCCGGGATCAGAAAGGTGGTGGCCAGATCAGGAAGGCCTTGTAAACCACTACAATGACTTTGGCTTTACTGTGAGTAAAAGAAAGGTGTTTTAGCAAAGGAATTGTTAACTACCAGTTCTAATCTTACTAAACCATTCAGCAGCATTTGATACAGGTTACTTTACTCCTCTTGAAATACTTTCTTCCTTCCCTATGATTACTACTCTCTCCTGAGTCTTCTCACACCTTCTCCAACCTCACTAGCTATAACTTTCCCTTTCTCCTAGATTCTTTCTTTTCTCTCCAACTTCTAAATTCTGGAGTGCTCAGGGCTCAGTCTTTGGAATGCATGCTGTTATCTAAACACATGAACTCCCTGGATCTCATCCAGTCAGATGGCTTAAATACCAACTCAAACTTATATCTCTAGTCCAGACCTTCCCTCTGAACTTTGAACTTCAAACTGACATATCTGATGATCTGACTTATGTTTTAATAAAAGCACTGACATTGTTCAAGCAGGGAGCCTGGTTTAGGGGAGGGAAGCTATTACAATAATCCATGTAAGAGATGCTGAATCAGGGTGAGAGCAGTTAAGTATGTTAAGAAAGGGTCGAATTCAAGCCACGATTTGAAGGTACATATGATGAGGTTTGCTAATGGACTTAGGTCAGGTTATGGTACCAAGATTTAGTCCTAATCAATCAAATATGGAATAGCTATTTATGACATGGTGAGATTGGTGGCAATGGCACTAGTAGTTTGGGGGAGGCAGAAGGAGATCCAAGAGAGAGGCTGCTATGCACTAAATTGTGCCTCCAAATTTTGTAGGTTGAAGTCCTAACCCCCAGGGTGATGGTATCCAGAGATGGAGCTTTTCAGGTGATAAGGTTTAGATGACCCTTGAGGGTAAGGTCCCCCCTCTCCCTATCTATCTCCTCTACATGAAGACACACCAAGAAGGCAGCTGTCTAAAAGCCAGGAAGAGTTCTCACCAGAACCCAACCATGCTGGCACCCTGCTCTCAGATTTCTAGCCTCCAGATTTGAGAAAGAATAAATGCGTGTTGTTGAAGCCACCCAGTCTACAGTGTTCTGCTGCAGCAGCCTGAGTAGGCTGAGACAGGCGCAGTTCCCGAAAGCAGCTCAAGGAGGAAGGAGGGATCCAGTGTGCGGATCCCGGGAATCAGCTGAGTAGGGGGTGGGGAGTTAGCAGGTGCACTGAGCAACGGGGAGGGCTCTGGTGAGCGTGGCCCGAGCTGCTACAGCAGTAGCAGCAGAAGAGCTTTAATGGAATAGGCTCAAGAAAGACGAGGCGAGAACTGAACCAGTGAGCACAGAAAGTATTTTTTGAATGAATACATGAAAATGACATGTCATAACAGTTTGGTTTAAAAACACACCTGAAGATTTTCTGTTTATTACAATAAGCCCAGGGCTGTATATGTGGGAATCTGAGCATCACTGGCTTTCTTTTTTTAATTTGGGTATAAATATAAAATTTCAAATGACACAAATCAATACGCATTTGGTGGGCAAGAGGCAAAACCGAAGGCAACTGGTTTCCTACCAAAGGCAAATTTGCAGGAGTGTGAATTTCACTGTAGATTACATTCGAAGAGTGTTTTCAATGAAAGCCAGAAAAGATCTACCCACAATCATTATCTTCTTTTTCAGGAATTATGACCATGAATTTGAAAGCATTTTTCTGTAAGCGTTCTTCCAGAAACAACCAACAAACTTTGATACAAGAATCTCTTTCCAGTTTCCTAAGACCTGGCCATACCCCGCCCCAACACAGAAATTGGCAAGAAATCTAAAGTCCCCACAAAAACTATGCTATCCTCTACTAACAGATCAAGGCAAGACATGTTGATAATGGTCATGATGACTTTAAAGACATCTATACAATACCTCTTTTTTAGAATCATCCCAATTCAGCTCTCTGCCCATCAGCTCAACAATCCTGGGTAGGGCTTCCTCCGCTGCCTGGACGTTTAGGAAGGCCAGGCGAGTGCGACGGGAAATCATATCCACTGCAGTGCAAGCATACTCCTTAATCCCATATTTCACCTGAACGTGAATTAAAGTAAATTATTAGTTTTTAAAAAAGAGGAAATAAAGTTTCACCAAAAAAAAAAAAAATCATGCTTAGGAAAAGTGATATTTTTCTTTATAAACTCTGGTTCTGTAGCAGGCATGAGACAAATAATGACATCACCAAGCTCCTCATCTGCCTGCCAAGGGAGTTTTGGAAACTGAGACAAATTGGACAAGAGCTAATGCCTTCTTTCTGAGTAGAACCTGGCACAAGCATGCAAACTGCCTCACTTCTCATTTACCATCCACAGTAATTGCGTACCTATTTGCTTATACATAATATGGATGTCAGTTTACATAGCTGAGTAGGCAAAGAACAAGTATTAAAAAGTTATGGTCACATCTGTTTAGGCTATCCAACGATTTTGGTCTCAGAGTAACCGGAAGACAGAACCTTGCCTTTAATCAATAAGCAAAGGCTTACTGGATACCTAGGTTTTAAGGTGAAGTGAATTATAAGTAAATATAAAGCATGGTCTCTGGTTTCATAAAATATGAAACCTTGATGAAAAACAAAGCTTAAATCTCTGAGAAGTTAAGTGTCAAATCAAGATATGTCATCAGGCAGCATATGAGTCATACGAGAGTTGCAAATTCACAAAAAAGTGAAGTGTGAACTAGCAAGACTTGAGCTAGCTCTATGGAGGGGAAAGAAATCCTTTATTTTCTATTATTATTGTTACCATTATCAGTATCAATTTAGAGTTAAAATAAAAATTTATAAATGTGAAAAATCTGGGCTCAACAGAAATTTTACTACAGATTTTAGCTGACATATGTGCATTAAGACTTAGCTATATATTAATTTTTAAAGAAGATTAAAAAAAAAAAGCCCACAGATGAATGGTATCCCATGCAGACAGGAGATTCCCACATGGCCATCCACATACCTCTGCTTCAATGTATGGAAACTCTGACACCAGACGCACTCCAACAATGGGCCACCTTTTTCCAGTCACACTTGCCATTTTGGCCACCTCAAAAGCCTTGTCACCATAGGTGGAGGCAAGATGCTGTGCCACCTAGCGAAACAAATCTGCATTAGGCCGGTACTTTGAGTATGAATAGCTTCTCGGTACAAAGCAAAAGAAGGTAGATGCCTATCTTGTCAGCGTTTCACAGCCTGTAACTAATAGTACTGCGAGAGTACTAGATTTTGATTTTGTGGGAGGAAACCACTTGGGCCCGAGTGCTTAGGCCAGCACGAACTCGACGGCACATGCATCACTGTATCAGTGACTGATGAAGCTTCAGCTCCATTCTGCTCCGATGTCACTTCTGAAGAACAGCTTTCCTGATGTTTGTGACAGAAAAGATTTGGGATGCCCTGTCTGCTAGGAACAAAGCAAACAAACCCCGGTTTTAACAGAGAAACTAAAATGTGCATTGTTTTTTTAGGCAACTACAGCAAATAAGCCCCCTTTTCTCTTTTCTCCATTAGCTCACTTCCACAGCACACACACAGGAATGCCCAACATTCACTGCGTTCAGTGCCCCACGAAAGGAAATTCTAAATCAGGGCGGCCACACACTTTCTGTTACTGGTAATAGTGAGATTAGGTGAAGAGTGAGATGAGAAGGCGATGCACACCCACCTCACTTTCAAGTCCGTAATCCTGGACAAGCCTGATGTAGAGTGTGGGGCTCCAATCTCTGCCCCCTTGAAGAAAAAGTCCAACTGTTCTACTTGGTCCTGCTTTCAAATTATGAGCCTTGATAGCAGCATCTATGGTGTCTTCTGCCATAGATCGATAGGTTGTCCACTTTCCCCCTACAAATAAGTTGACAAACAATTCATTAGGTTACTAACCCTTTTACTTTTTTCATAATTTCATAAATTTTTTTCATTTATCAACTTATGAATAATAAACCCACCTGTTGTTTATAACAAATATGGCAAAGTGGTGTGTTATACTTTACTCAGAACCATAAAAAAAAAAAAAAAAGCCTGTTGATTAGAGTTAAAAGAGATGCAGTGTGACCACTGAACTCAAGGTCCTATCTAAAGTTGTCTCAGGTAACAAGGTAACACCCATACCTGCTATAGTGACGAGGCCACTCTCACTGATATCCACAACATGATTTCGGGAGATGGACTGAGTATCTGCAGACTTGGGATCTGTAACAAGGGGACGAATACCGCTCCATGCTGCCAGGACATCCCCTCTTCTCACTGGGAAGGATCAATGAGGAGGGTTAAGAGGATTACTCAGAGACATCTCAACAAAACTATGAAATAGTTAATAAGCAGGAAAAAGTGCAGTAAGAGGAATACATGAGTATGCATTTTAAAAGGGAGAGAAAGCCCTTAAATGTAAGAACTGAGCAGATAAGTACAAGAAAAACTCAATTATTTTGTTACAAAAATAATCTCCATGACAAAAAAGAGCAAAAAACTTGAAAATCACTGATACTGGTACCAAAGAGGAAACAAAAGAAACAAATGCTAGCAACCGTTAGCTGGGACAATTTGAAGTAGTAAAAAAACAACAACAGAAAGCAGAAACAAAGTAAAAACAAACCAATAAACTTATGACTTATTGTATTTTCTCCTAGCATAGGTCTTGCTGTCTCTTCTCAGGGAAGACAAAGATCCTTAACCGAGCACTTACAGCAGGCCTCGTCTTGCCAAAGCACTTGGCATACACATTTCATCTCACTTAACCTCACGAAGTCCCATAGCATTGGTCATTATTATTCTCTCTGAACAGTTGAGAAAAAAGATTGGAAAAGTTTAACCAACTTGCCAAAAGCAAACATCTTATACATGATAGAGCATCATATTCTTACCCATTTAATAGCACTGTTGATTTCTGACAATTTCCATACTCTTTATTTCTTTTTCATCCCATTATCTTTATAACTGCCACAAAAACAGGTATATGGTCTCCTCCCAATAGAGGTACATAATACTTGTGTTCAAATTCTTTGAAAATTCAAGATACTATGAAATTTTTCTTTCATCTCCGCCAAAACATAATTACATCATAATGCCAAAAATCTATGAAGTTTAAAACTGGACAGCAGTTGCACAGCACTCATTACTGTCCTAAAAAAATGGCAAAGAGTAGCCCAGTTGTGGTTTCGGTACACCCTAGGGGGCAAGGGCAAGAACTAAAGGCAGACTTTCAGAATATACTCTTCTTTATCCAGGTCAGCTTCAGGGGTGGCTCAGTTTTTTTCCTCTCCACTCTCCACATCAAGGAGCTGACCATGTGCACCAATTCAACACCTGCCTAATAATGCAGACTCTGGGGAGGTGACTGCTTACCTGGTCCTGTTGCACTTACTTTGATAAACTAGTTAATCCACCCCTGGGTGATAGAGAAATGCAATTTTGCTTTACCAATACTTGTGGTCATTCTCCACCTTACTCCCAGCCATTATCCACAGTGATAAAAAAAATTGACTGTATATAGTCTTAAAAACATCAAGAAAATAGGAAAACTGGATATCCACATGTAAAAAATAAAGTTGGGCCCTTATTTTCCACTATATGCAAAAATTAACTCAAAATGGATCAAAGACCTATACATAAGAGCTAAAACTATAAAACATTTAGAAGAAAATATATGGGGAAAGATTCATGACATTGGATTGGCAATGATTTCTTACATATGAAACCAAAGGCACCTGCTACACAAGAAAAAATAGATGAAATGGGCTTCATCAAAATTAAAAATGTTGGTACATTAAAATACATTATCAACAGAATGAAAAAACAAGCCATGTAATGGGAGAAAATATTTTCAAGTCATATATGTGAAAAGGGGGTAATATCTAGAATATGCAAGAACTCTTAAAACTCAAAAACCAAAAACAAACAACTTGACTGAAAAATGGGCAAAGGATTTGAGTAAATATTTATCCAAAGAAGATGTACAAATGGCCAATAAGCATGTAAAAAAGATGCTCAATATCACTAATCATTAGGAAAATACAAATAAAAACTACAATAATACACAATTTCACACCTATTAGGATGGCTATTATAAAAAAAAAATTAAATAACAAGCAAAAAAAACCCCACAAAATAAAAAATGTTGGCAAGGATATGGAGAAACTGGGATATCCTTGCGCATTTTAGATGGAAGGTAAAATGATGCAGCTACTATGGGTAAATGCACGGCAATTCCTCAAAAAAATTAAACATAGAATTACCAGATGGTCTTGCAATTACACTTCTGGGTTCATACCAAAAAGAAAAGAAAGCAGAGAAAATTTCAATTCACAGCAGCATCATTCATAGTAGCCCAAAATGTGGGAACAACTCAAGTGTCCACCAACAGATAAATGGATAAACAAAGTGTATTATATACATGCAATGTAATATTATTCAGCCTTAAGAAGTAAGGAAATTCTGGCACATGCTATGGATGAACATTGAAGACATTATGCTAAGTAAAATAAATCAGGCACAAAAAGACCAATATTGTATGATCCCATTTATATGATATACCTAGAGTAGTTCAATTCATAGAGACAGAAAGTAAAATAGTGGCCTCCAGAGGGAGGGGGAGGGAGGAAAGGGGAGTTAGTGTTTAATGGGTGCAAAGTTGGGGAAGATAAAAAAATTCTCGAGAGGGATGGTGGTGGTGGTGGCGGCACAAAAAATGTCAATATATTTAATGCTACAGAATTGTACACTTAAAAATGGTTAAAATGGTAAATTTAATAATATGCATATTTAACTACAAGTGTAAAATACCAAGACAAAAGGAAAATTTTGATTCAAGTTTGAGAAGATTGAGGAAATATTTTACATAAAGTGAAAAATTATCAGGGCCCCTACCAGCCCATACCACACCCATGCCTTAGTTCAAACTGAACTATTTCATTCAGGAGGCATAGTCTGGGTAGTCGAGTGCAGGCTGGATTTCACACCCCATGGTCATGTGTCTTTGTACAATGAACCTCCTAGATATTTATACACGGCAGCCCATGAAAAGCATTTAGATATATACAAAGACTCCTTAAAATGATGGGAATAGTCCACACACACAAAAAAAGCACCTAACAAAATACATGGAAAAGACTCTAAAAACAAATTATATTGGAACTCAGGTAAATCTGGAATATTTTAATGTGGCTCCTTAAAGGCCACACTTTTAACATGACTGTATTCTGAAAGAAGAGGTAGCCATATACCTCTAAAGAGGCGTCTAATCAAACCCGTATCTAAACACGATACCTGAAATAGAGGAAGAAGAAGCCTGGGGAGGACAGCCTCAGGCTCCCAGGCTTCCTAACTGGAGGCCACAGGGAGCGTCAGTGCTGGGATTCCTGTCCTAGGCCTGCCCCTCTGATGTGCGCAACCTCTCTAATGGCTCACAGGGAATAGGGGTTAATTCTTGCTTCATAGGATTCCACAAAAGTCTTGTAAAATCTCAACACAAATCATGCAATGTTTTAATCTTTACAAAAAGCCTAACTAGTAAATTACCACTATTTTCCATTAGAGTTCAAATCACCCTCTGAGTTAAAAATAAAACTTAGCCAACCACTTAGAACGTCACTGTGGTCACCACAAAGTCTGCAGAGTGTGTCTGTGGAATTCCTTAGGTAGCCATGCTGGCCAGGAATTTGGTTTCAACTCTTAAAGTCCTCTGACTGATTCTAAAATTATTTGATGGAAAATTGGACTTTCTAGAGTAAATCTGAAGCATATGCAAATAATATGGGTGGCAAATGGGTTACCTTTTCTGGTATAACAGGAAGAAAAATACATCTATGAAAATGTGTTGTCTAAAAGAAAAAGACCGAACTAAAACATTTAAGTTTTTCATTCATAGAGGAACATTAAATAAAACATTAGGTATACTGATACCATTTTAATCCTACTATCGAAACTGACACTCAATAAAAGAAAACTCTACCAGGAAGAGTTCATAATGTGTTAGTAACTTTCATTTATTTTATTGATATCTTACCATTCAGCTTTTAGCCTAAGAATTATATCAGATAAATTTTACGATTAAATTTATTTTAAAAGATACAGTTAAGGATAATCAAATTTTAAATCACATTTAAAATGTGAGTCAGTCTTTATGGCCCATAGGATTTTTATATTATTAGATTAGAGGGGGGTCGGATCTCTACCAGTTTTCTCTCAACCTTGAGATTTAACAATTTTTATGGATTTTTCAAAATGCTATTTACTGCTGAAGAATCAAGTACTTGTATCTCTTCACCACCCAAATTAAGTAATGACCAATCAGGCCTCAGGTATAATCTATGTCTGTGGGACAGAGCATAGCTAAACACATGAAACATGAATGCTAACCACTTGCATAAAAGTCAGCGACTAAAAGAACTAACAGCTTTCTCTCATTATCACCCACAGTAATACTTTCCCACAGTATTCACCCACAATGGAAAACCTGCACACTGGTCAACAAACACTAAGTTCTCTGACGAAAACAAATTCAAATGCAGCAGACAGGCAGCACAGAGAATCTTTTACTACTGCCTGGAACTGCTGCAGCCACATTGCAACCATGAGGGAGACAGCCCCAGGGTGAAGCCAACCTGGAGGATGGCAGAGTGAAGAGAAATAACAGGGCCATGCCCCTCAGATACTGCTGAGTCACTAAATTAATCACCTCCGGGGCTTTTTTATATTCAGAGTTCTTCTTTTACAAGATAATACATTATTTTACAGGAAAAAAAACACAAACTCAATGACTCTATTAAACAGACTATTTCTTTCTCTAAAGGTATACATGAGCCCTTCCAGATTCTGCAGAGCAACACTGTTCCAGACTTTTCTGCAGTGATGAGAATGTTCCACATCTATGCTGTCCAATTTACTAGCCACTTATGCATGCAGCTATTAAGCACTTGAAATGTGGTTCATGAGAACTCAATTTCAAACTTTATTTAATTTTAACTAACTTAAATTTAAATAGCCACATTGTGGCCGTGATATTGCACAGCTCTAGAGGAAAAGCTGCCAAGTAGATCTCAGATTTGTCCTGTTAGACCACAAGCTGGTGACTGCCACCGTGGAGCCCTTGCCCACATCTCTAATGGAGCATCTTTTCAGCGAAATGTGACTGCACTTCCTGCGCTCGTGAGAATACAGCTTGCTGTAATAGCACCCTCATCTCCCAACTACTTTACTGCCATGACGTGTTCCATATTTACCATTTCAAACTATCTTTCTCTCCTACA